TTAGGATCACCACTTTATTTTAAGAATGTGAAATGTCAGAATAATAGTAGAGAGAATGATTTATTTCAGATTTAATTTATTTCATCACATTCCCAGTGGGTCAGAAGTTTACATACACTCAATTAGTATTTGGTATCATTGCCTTTAAATTGTTTAACTTGGGTCAAACGTTTCGGGTAGCCTTCCACAAGCTTCCCACAATAAAGTTGGGTGAATTTTGGGCCATTCTTCCTGACAGAGCTGGTGTAACCAAGTCAGGTTTGTAGGCCTCCTTGCTCGCACACGCTTTTTCAGTTCTGCCCACACATTTTCTATAGGATTGAGGTCAGGGCTTTGTGATGGCCACTCCAATACCTTGACTTTGTTGTCCTTAAGCCATTTTGCCACAACTTTGGAAGTATGCTTGGGGTCATTGTCCATTCGGAAGACCATTTGCGACCAAGCTTTAACTTCCTGACTGATGTCTTGAGATGTTGCTTCAATATATCCACATTATTTTCCTTCCTCATGATGCCATCTATTTTGTGAAGTGCACCAGTCCCTCCTGCAGCAAAGCACCCCCATAGCATGATGCTGCCACCCCCGTGCTTCACGGTTGGGATGGTGTTCTTCGGCTTGCAAGCATCCCCCTTTTTCCTCCAAACATAACGATGGTCATTATGGCCAAACAGTTCTGTTTTTGTTTCATCAGACCAGAGGACATTTCTCCAAAAGGTACGATCTTTGTCCCTATGTGCAGTTGTTACTGTGGATATAGATACTTTTGTACCTGTTTCCTCCAGCATCTTCACAAGGTCCTTTGCTGTTGTTCTGGGATTGATTTGCACTTTTTGCACCAAAGTACGCTCATCTCTAGGAGACAGAACGCGTCTCCTTCCTGAGCAGTATGACGGCTGCGTAGTCCCATGGTGTTTATACTTGCGTACTATTGTTTGTACAGATGAACGTGGTACCTTCAGGCGTTTGGAAATTGCTCCCAAGGATGAACCAGACTTCTTTTGATTTTCCCATGATGTCAAGCAAAGAGGCACTGAGTTTGAAGGTAGGCCTTGAAATACATCCACAGGTACACCTCCAATTGACTCAAATTATGTCAATTAGCCTATCAGAAGCTTCTAAAGCCATCATTTTCTGGAATTTTCAAAGCTGTATAAAGGCACTGTCAACTTAGTGTACGTAAACTTCTGACCCACTGGAATTGTGATACAGTGAATTATAAGTGAAATAATCTGTCTGTAAACAATTGTTGGAAAAATGACTTGTGTCATGCATAAAGTAGATAGCCAAAACTATAGTTTGTTAACAAGACATTTGTGGAGTGGTTGAAAAACGAGTTTTAATGACTCCAACCTAAGTGTATGTAAACTTCTGACTTCAACTGTATATCAATATTAAAGTAAGTAGAGTGTGGGGGTGGTGAGAGGGAGAGGAGCATAAACTGTATGGCAGGTGCTAAAAGCCACAGGAATGTTGATGAAACCTAATAACCCATGCAATAAATTGCCCCATGAGACAGATATTAAGAGAAATGTTGTCATTATGGTATGTTTTCTGGTGAGCTATCCAGGTCTAAATACAGGTCCCATAGATTCTGTGGAAATATGAATGAATGATAAGTCTTCCAAGATACAGTACCTTTCTCACCTCTCTTTACCAAAAAAAAGCTACACCATCAATTAATATTAATGGGCCTCATTCACCAATAGGATTGATGAATCCCACATCTTCGTAATTGAAAGCGTGTGCCAGTTGTTCCTAATTAGTATAAGAAAACGCCCCGCAAATTCCTATATAAGGACATGACACTTCAGGGCCGTGTGCAAGAAAAGTTGGAGAATGTCCAAAAGACGCACAGACGGTGGTGGTCCACCGATCACCAATTGAAAAAGGAACTTCAGTAATTCTGAAATACAAATTCTACTGCAACAGGTAAATGCCAAACGAGGCATAATATTTAGTAGTGTTCCCAGTGGTTTTAAAGCCACCAACAAAACGGAGGCATGGAAGGAGATCACGGATTCCGTGAACTCTGTTTCTGGACAACGTCGCTCAATTGAAGACATAAAAAATAAATGGTTTGACTTAAAATCAGAGACCAAAAAATCCATTGCCAAACATAAGAGACATATGCTGACCACTGGAGGGGGGCATGCAGGCCCTGAGTTATCTGAGATTGACCAGCGCATCGGGGCCATTATTGGTGAGACGGCACTCAGGTGTGCCATCAGCGGAGCAACTGGACACTGACCAGGGCCCTATATCAACAGCTTCATATCCTCCAAGGCCATCTCCCACCAGTGACGGTAAGCAAGTCTTTCTGAATTTATACAATTTCATGCCATAATTTAACTGAAAGCAATGGTGAAACCATTGGAAAGGAATTTTACACCAGTTTGTCAAACCAAATGTGGGCCTATGTGACTGTGAATGAGTCCTCACCTGAATTCCTAGTTTATTCAGTTTGAAATCCTATTGCTTTTGCAGTAGGCTTATATTGAACAAACTGAAACATAAACATAAAAATAAAAATCTGTGCACTGTCAGTATCGTTTTTGTTATTTACAGCTCTCCAATCCAGGCAACCCCTCTGAAGAGGAACCTGACACCATTTGGCCTTCCTGCAGTAGGCCTGCCTCTGTACGTGCCCCCAGGTCTCGTCCAACTGCGAGTGTCATCTCCAATGCAGTCTCTGAAATCGCTTCTACTCTGGCCACAATTTCAGAAACACTCAAAGACATAAACACACATTTAAAAATATATAGAACGCGCACTGAAACCTGTGTCATTTCATGTGTTTAATTCGTATATTTAAAGGACAAAACAAATCAAAAACGAGAAATTATTTGTTGTCTGACTTCCACGCCAAGTCTTGTCTGGTCCCAGCAATGGGTCAGGACGCACATCCTGGTGTGGTGGCGGAAGTGGAAGTGGAACACCACGCTTCATAGCGACGTTGTGTAACACACAACAAGCCATGATTATTCTGCAAACCTAAAAACGGTTTAAAGCTTATCAAAAGCTAGAAAAACTAAATAAAATGAATTGTTGGAATTAGATTATTCTACAACATGTTCTCCATTTTTCAAACCTGAATAAAACAAGTAGTCCTACTCACTTTCTCTGGCTTGTAAAGCAGCGTACCACCTGCTGTGTCCAAGCACATCCAGCGTCCCTTCAGAATACCAATGGTTCGCTCAATGGTGGAGCGGGTGCGTGCGTGCCTCTGGTTATAAGAGGCCTCTCGGTGCGTCTGAGGGTTTGTTAGTGGCGTCATTAGCCAGGGCGCAAGGGCATACCCCAGATCTCCTAATGAAATAAGTCATTAATGAAGAAACCCACTTTTTGAAACCAACTATTGGAATTTGAAATTACTGGACGATGCTTACCAATGAGCCATGCGTCTCCAGCATCTCCTTGTTCCAGGCGCATCCCCACAGAACTGTTCTGCAAAATATAAGCGTCATGTGCACCTCCTGGGAAGCGGGAGACCACGTTCAAGAGATGGTTGTCGGAGTCGCAGATGACTTGTACATTGAGTGATATTGCTTGCGGTTGAGGTATGGGAATGGGTCTGGTGAGGGTGCCTTAATGCGCACGTGAGTGCAGTCTATTGCCCCGATTACGTTGTGCAGACCCGCAATATAGTAGAACCCTCTCTTGACCGGCAGCTGTTGTTGCGCTGTGTAGGGGAAGAAAATATATTGTGTGGCCAGTTCATTTATTCCTTCCACAACTCGTGGGAGAGCGCGGCTGATGGATGGCTGTGATATGCCCACCCGGTCTGCTAACTCCCGCTGAAATGTCCCAGTGGCTAAAAATCCCAAGATGGAGAGTACCTTCACATGAGGTGGTACGGGATTGGACCGTTGGGTATGGCTTCGCAGCGCTGGCTCCACAGTATCACACAGCTCCATTAAAACGTGTCTTGGAAGCCTTAACCGTCCGATCAAGTACTCGTCAGTCTCTGCAAATAAATCAACGTGATCCTCAAAGATGCGTTCCCTTCTCAGAGCACGCTCGGCAATGTCGTCAAGCAGCAATAGATGTGCCATTTTGATAGCATGCCTGATGTGCAGAAACAGGCCCATTTTGGCCCTATAAATAGCGCGATCAATCACCACATAATGCAGGATTTAATCATCTTAATTGCTGATGTAAATTGCAGTGTTAGTGTTTCTTTGCATACTATGATATTTTTTTCAACAAATGATCAGAAATATATTACAGTAAAATACTATCATTGTAAAATTTAATGAAATACAGTAACCAATTATTTGGAGCAAACTGTCATCACTCAAATGTGCGTAAGAATGCTCTTGAGTGTGCGTGGATTTTGTTCTTATCTAAGAACAAATCCAAGATGAGAAAACATTAGTGAATGTCAGAATCTTCCGTAAAAAGTGCGTAAGTGGGGTTTAAGAACACATTACTTCATAAGAACGGTTGGTAAATGAGACCCATTGTTGTTGCTGTCATAAGTGTCCCTAAGCAGTTATTTTGGTTAGAAATGGTTGTTGAAACCAAGCCATTTATTTTTTTGAAAACTGTGCGGGCCTGAAAAGAATAGGCAATGTTTTACCGCATTATTTTCATTTTAGCAACCAGCCTTTCATTTTAGCATTTTTGCCATTAGGGTAGGCTATCATGCAGGCTGTCGCCTCGATGCCCATTAACTGTGCCATTTAGCCTACTGTCAATTAGAACATTAGAGAGCAGCTTAAGCGATAAAGCACACCTACCCGTGTCTTGCTTACTACCAGTGCGTCCTCGCCAAGGGAAGTAGACTGCACTTGCCCCCGCCGTCACCACCCCGTTGCATTGCGCGTACCTCGCACAGGGAGAGGACCGGATATCTATCTTTCAGAACATCTTTCCATACCTTCGCCAGAGGCTGAGACGTCAGTGTCCACAGGCGTCTGCACTACAGGAAAGGAATCCGGTCCAGTGACTCCACTGACTATAACGAAGTTTTATCTACTAGGCTAATATCGCACCTGAATATGATGGAGTTCCCTACACTGTCCGCAGCTGATTTTGCCGACCTGTATTCTGTGATCCCTTTCAATGCCACATTGTCTGAGGATTCAACAGGGCTGCCATCAAGAGGCAATGACACCGAGAAGGGTTCTTCGAAGGACACCAAAAGTATTATAATTGCAGTATCTATAACGGCTCTTTACTCTATTATATGCGTTGTTGGACTGCTTGGAAACATCCTCGTTATGTATGGAGTAGTGAGGTAAGAAAGCCTATCTACTGTAGCTCTTTTGGGGACCCTAATGGAAATAATGGATACACGCAGTCTTAAAATGTCAGTTTTTTACTGTAAAGTGATTGCATTTTTTTGTTGAATATCACCACAAGTAAACTGATATAGTTTTATTATATGATTAGAGGCATTTGCATCCTCCAGCTAACTCACATGATTTGGGATAGCTATATAGGGCCACAGGTTCATAGTGAGAGATGGAGACAACCAACCCACCACACTCATGCCCTACCATCCACCAAGCTCTAGCATCAAGCAGTTAAATTGCAGTAGTGGAAAAAGTACTCAATTGTCATATTTGAATAAAAGCAAAGATACCTTAATAGAAAATGACTTAATTAAAAGTGAAAGTCGGCCAGTGAATACTACTTGAGTAAAAGCCTAAAAGTATCAGTTTTTAAATTTACTTAAGTACAGTGGTGGAAAGATTACTCAATTGGCCACACTTGAGTAAAAGTAAAAAGTAAAAGTAAATGCGATACATCAAATTCCTTATATTAAGCAAACCAGATGGCACAATTTACTTGTTATTAAAATGTATGGGACAGCCAGGGGCACACTCCAACACTCAGACATAATTTACAAGCACAGTATTTGAGTTTAGTGAGTTCGCCAGATCAGAGGCAGTTGGGATGACAATGCGTTATATGAATAGTTGTGTGAATTGGACCATATTTCTGTCCTACCTGAGCATTCGAGTACTTTTGGCTGTCAGGGAAAATGTATGGGAAAATGTATGGGAATAAAATAAAATAAATGTATGGGAGTGAAAGTAAAAGTTGTCAAAAATATAAATAGTAAGGTACAGATACTCCCAAAAACTACTTAAGTAGTACTTTAAAGTAGTTTTACTTAATTACTTTACAACACTGTTAAATTGTAAAGTGCTAGCTGGCTGTAAGTGACACAAAGACATGTAGGAACGATTTAAATGAAAACCCATTTACATAAAACATTTATATAACAAATTCACAAGCAAAAATGGTCAATGTCTTGTCAATCTCATCATAAATGTTTAATACATTATGTTTAATACATTATAATGTAGCCAACTGAACTTATGTTGCTTTTATGTGACGCTTTCCATGATTGGCTGTGTTATGTACTTTAAGTGTGTGTGAAGATATTGTGAATTGTTGCAGAATATTATGTCAAGTTGCAAAATGTGAACTGTGATTTTTTGGCCTTAAAGATACAGTAGCCTATGAAGCTGGTACTGTACTCTCTATAGAACTCAGCTTTGATTTGAAGTATTGACTTCTCTTCTGGCTGCACCAGGGCCTTGAATAAACAGTACCAAAGTTCTAATCACCAAATTCAAGACTGTAGAGTAAACTTGGCTGAGATAAGATGGAGTTTCTGGTTTGGCCAGAGGAGGCAATTAATCAGTGTATCAGTATGATGACATGGGCTGAGTCTGAAAACATAATTCAGAATGTTTTAATCCTTGCTTCCTCCATCCTTGTATCCTCAAATCCACGTTAAGAGGAATTGAGGAAACAAGGATGCAGGAACGAGGAAGCAAGGATTTGATGGCTAGTAACGTTTTCAGACACAGCCCAAATCTTCATCCCCCTACCACCAATGGTGTGTATTCATGGATGCCAAGGGAAGCCAGCATTCCCCCAAAAAATATTATAAAAAAATATTGATCTTTCGTCTCTCTGTGTTTCATAAATGCTGAATGTATCTCACCGGAGAAAGCATCCATGCGAACGAAACAGCGCCCCTCTGTCTCAGTATGTGTAGCTTATCTATCTCATGCTGTCTGGTCAGAAAGCATATGGCATTGTTGCCGCCCGTAGCATTGAATGCAAGGGCAGAATTTAGCCTCCCTTGATAAAAAACTAATAAAATAATAGCCAATCAGCATTGAGCTAAACTGAGTAAGCTCAGCTGTGAATGGTCCTTGTGCACCAAAAAAAAGTGTCAAGGGAAGCCAGTTTGGATTTGGCTTCAGACCAATCACATCACAAGCCAAACATAATTATTGACAGAAAAAAACTTGAATTGTTGCATCTTGTTGTGTTGTTGTACTCTGGTGGCTAGCTAGCTAGCTAAAATCGTCCCTTTCCTAAATTAGCCATGGATGGAGATAGGGATTTGGACATGACACTCGTTACCACTGATTGGGAGTCACACGACCAAACAAGGAAACACAACCAAAACCAAACCAAACACAACAAAACGAACACACCCTGGCTCAACATACAAAGTCCCGGAGCCAGAGCGTGACAGTACCCCCCCCTAAAGGCGCGGACTGCGACCGCGCCTCAAAAACCCCAAACAGGGGAGGGCTGGGTGGGCATTACTCCTCGGAGGCGGCTCCGGCTCCGGGCTTGACCACCACCCTTCTTCAATCCCCCCGTAGCGCCCCCGGTCCGATCTGACCCAGCTGGTAGGATCTGGACTGACGACGCGCACCCCTGGCTTGGCGCGTGAGGCAGGAACGGACCGGACCTGGCTGACGATACGCACCCTAGGCTTGATGCGTGGAGCCGGACCGGGCCTCACCAGGCTGACGACTCGCATCCCTGGCTTGGTGCGAGTAGTAGGAATGGGCTGGATCAGGCTGACGGCTCGCACCCTTGGCTTGGTGCGAGTAGCAGGGACGAGCTGAACCAGGCTGACGACTCGCACCCTTGGCTTGGTGCGAGTAACAGGAACGGGCTGGACCAGGCCGACGACTCGTACCCCTGGCTTGGTGCGAGTAGCAGGAACGGGCTGGACCAGGCTGACGACTCGCACCCTTGGCTTGGTGCGAGTAGCAGGAACGGGCTGGACCAGGCTGACGACTCGCACCCTTGGCTTGGCGCGAGTAGCAGGAACAGGCCGGGCTGGGCTGGCGACGCACACCGTAGGTTTTGTGCGTGGAGCAGGAACAGGCCGGGCTGGGCTGGCGACGCACACCGTAGGCTTTGTGCGTTGAGCAGGAACAGGCCGGGCTGGGCTGGCGACGCACACCGTAGGCTTTGTGCGTTGAGCAGGAACAGGCCGGGCTGGGCTGGCGACGCACACAGTAGGCTTTGTGCGTTGAGCAGGAACAGGCCGGGCTGGGCTGGCGACGCACACCGTAGGTTTTGTGCGTGGAGCAGGAACAGGCCGGGCTGGGCTGGCGACGCACACCGTAGGTTTTGTGCGTGGAGCAGGAACAGGCCGGGCTGGGCTGGCGACGCACACCGTAGATTTTGTGCGTGGAGCAGGAACAGGCCGGGCTGGGCTGGCGACGCACACCGTAGGCTTTGTGCGTTGAGCAGGAACAGGCCGGGCTGGGCTGGTTTCCTTCAATCTCTGTAGTGGCCAACATGTTTTTTCTACTTGCAACGCACACACACATATCACACGCACACACACACACACACACACACACACACACACACACACACACACACACACACACACACACACACACACACACCACACACACACACACACACACACACACAGAAATCAGTGCCACTGACAGCCACATCATATTTAGCTTACGTTGATTGGACTAAATAATGTTTTGTATCTTTTAGTTGTCACTTTATTAAAACTAAGCATAGGGGATTAGATGATGTTGAAATGTTGAAGTTGAAATGGTGCAGTGGAGGCAGCGCCTGTTTTCTTTGCGACTTGCGGTAACTCTCCGTGGTTCTAAATCAATAGTTGTTTAGTAGTCTGAAAATGATGGAAACGTTACCGATTTTTTTCTTGAGTGGATGGTCAGGGCTAGAACATAATCACAAATTTGTAGACTGCAATTTGACCACAATAATATGTGACTAAAACATGATCATTTCAAACCTTGCTTACATTTGTGTACGATCAAGTGTCTCTCTATTATGTGTGGGAATACTTGGGAACAGATTTTTAAAATTAAAATCACTTGGAGCTGATTTCCTGGTGTTTTTACAGTCTTTTATGTCCAACAATGAAAATTCAAAAGTCATTTTGCTCAGAAACCCTGCTGTAGGTCATGTAACTGTTTATTACATGCAATATGTTTTGTGGACTTCACCGGACAGATATTCCTCTCCAGTTTTGTAATGAAACAAATGTGTGGTTGCACTGTGTCTTCTTATTGTCTCGACCTTAGGCCTATATATCACGGTGTCAAGGCATGTGAACTAACAGGTTATAGAGCAAACAACGCAATTATCACAATACATAGGTTGTAGTATGGCTTTTTTTTCCTGGATTGGCTTCCCCGGTGATTTAACCATGCACCGCTAGCCTACCACCTTTCCCACCAAAACTACTTGAATAAAACAGGTTCAAGTCCTCAGTAGTTTGCCTTGACAGAGATAGTATGATAAAATATCCTGATATTATGAAATTATGATGTCATTTCCTGTGGAAAGTCAAAGTGGAGTAACTAAGAAGATGTTAAGTTGGGTGCGTTGGTGTGACGGATATCACACCGTGTTGATTAGATAATTGGGAAGCACTTCCCCCTCATCACAAATCTGACTCATCAAACTCATTTCAAAGGAACTCTGACTGACAACTATCAATTTCAAATGTTAATCTGTCATTTAATCCATGCTTAAACTCAGAAAAGTGTCAATACTGCATTTTAATGGTGACTCACTCAATGTCACTCACTTTGATCCACTTTCTTTCATTAACATTACAGTCAGGGGAGTATAATGGGTGGGATCTGCCCGCCTGGGGAACCAGATGCATGTACTCTAAGCAATGTCTCTCTCTGAAGGTTGGACTCGATATGATAACCAATAAGCTGATGCTTTCAGGTGAAGCCAGACAGAACACAAGACATTAAACAAAGACCAAAAATCTCCATACAGCCTCAAGCACAACATACAGTATTAAAGCTCCATATTGAAACTCCATAATAATACATTCTCAGTGCAAATACAACACAGTCATCAACAGTAGATTGAAAAGGCTAAATCAAGGTCTCACGCTAAGTGTATCTGTAATGAATGCATTAGCACAGTAAGAGAGGATTGGCAGTTTTTATTGTTCTTTGAACCAGACTCACGACCACAAAAGAGAGTGCTCTATTATCCAATATCTGGGTCAATTACTCCTCAGTGCAATACAGACACCTTGCCTTCTGAGACCCTGGATCTGCAGTATTTGCCAAGCTAATAAACAACATTGCCCTCTCTCTGTCCAGATACACCAAAATGAAGACAGCCACTAACATCTACATCTTCAACTTGGCCCTGGCCGATGCTTTGGCTACCAGCACTCTGCCCTTCCAGAGTGCCAAGTACCTGATGAACACCTGGCCCTTCGGCGAGTTTCTGTGTAAAGTGATCCTCGCCATCGACTACTACAACATGTTCACCAGTATCTTCACCCTGACCATGATGAGCGTGGACCGCTACATCGCTGTGTGCCACCCGGTCAGGGCCCTGGACTTTAGAACACCCGCCAAGGCCAAGATGATCAACGTGTGCATCTGGATCCTCTCCTCTGCCTTCGGAGTGCCCATCATGGTCATGGCGGTTACCAAGGTGACAGACAAAGGTGAGCAGTCCATATGAGCTGTACCGTATGTGCTCCAGACACCAACATCCACATATCCATATGCTAACCATTTGATTGTTTATCCCTCAGGCAATACAGGGTGCATGCTGCAGTTCCCTCAGCCAGACTGGTACTGGGACACGGTGACTAAGATCTGCGTGTTCATCTTTGCCTTTGTGGTGCCAGTCCTGGTTATCACCATCTGCTACGGCCTGATGATTCTCCGCCTGAAGAGTGTCCGTCTGCTCTCCGGCTCCAAGGAGAAAGATCGGAATATGCGGCGCATTACCCGCATGGTCCTGGTGGTGGTGGCGGCATTCATAATTTGCTGGACGCCCATCCACATCTTTATCATCCTCAGGACCATGGTGCAGATTGACAGCATGAACCCCTACGTAATCGCCAGCTGGCACCTGTGCATTGCGCTGGGCTACATGAACAGCAGCCTCAACCCCCTGCTTTACGCCTTCCTAGACGAGAACTTCAAGAGGTGCTTCAGGGATTTCTGCCTGCCTTTCCGCTCCAACATGGACCAGAGCAGCTTCTCCAGAGCCCGCAACTCCACGCGGGAGCCCACCACCGTGTGTGCTCCGAGAGAGTTGGTGAGGAAGCCTGTATGACTAGGAATGGAGCAGCGGCCTGGAGACTCCGGCTCACGGACAGTCCAGGACGACTTACAGACTGATGTCACACAGTTCTCCACAGAGTTCTGACAGTAGCTCTGGATTTAGACCTACAGTACTACTGGCAAAACCCACTGCAATGCTAAGTCTGTCAACATCACCATTTCCCACTAAATCTTGTGCATTATGATTGTTTCAGTGTTGAGAGGCAGAGTCACAGAAACGATCACTTTGGGTTATGATGTTGTTCAGCTCAGGCCTCCTGCATAGGAGTTGGGCCATGGACTGGAGGCAGAATCCTCCAGGGGAAAAGGTCATGCCAGGTGACTATTCTGTAATATGTATTTTCAGACAGAGTAAGTTAAATTGCAAGGTAAACAGTGTAAATAATGAAAATAATGAGAAAATATTGTATTGAATAGTTAAAGATGTTAAGTGAACCAGTTCCGACTGACATTTTGGTGTACAAAGCGCTCTGTGAATGCCATAGGGTCCTGTGCCTTATAATGCCAGAAAGCCCCCTCTGTCTGCTCTCCCCTTTCACTCTCTTAGCAGGGCTGACATGAAGTGTCAGCTTTCACACCCTACATTTGCATAGGGCGTGATGTCACATTTTCTGGCCTATCCAGACAAAAACTTGATTTACTCTTCCTCTAACCTAACATAGCAGGCATAAGTTCCCACATCCGGTTTTCAGTGGAAAAGGAAGCTAGGTTGAAATAGCTTTATCCCTGAAAACCAGATACATCCGGTTGTTGGCAACTCTGCTAAGAGTTATTTTCCTCTGAGTGAGTGAGCCCAGCCTGTGAGACGGCATATGAATGGTAACAATCTAGTGGATCTAGCAATTGTGGTTTCATCTCGCTGTGATATTCACAGCTGGATTTAGAGCTCTCAACATGAAAAAATACGAAATAATTTCATAGAATTTAAACAATAACAGTCAGAGGCAGGTATTTACAAAGTTGGGCCAATGCAGTTTCTTCATTATGATGCATTTACATGACATTTCATCATTCTATGGCAGCCATGTTAGCTCCCCATTAACATTACATGGGGAATATTTAAACAAAGCTATGTAACTGAATGTCTAGAATTAGAACAATATTCAAAATTCTAAAACTTGGCCTAACTCTCTGAATATATGGCTCTAATACCACTTTCTCTTGGTCACAGATGGCCAAAATGACTTTGTGCTTAAAGTTGAAGTTGTAACGAGTCTGCACACATTTGAATGGTGTCTCTGCGTCACTCAGTGGACGTTTAGGAGAAAATTCTCTGTTGGCAGTTATATGAAATAGTGTCAATATTGTACTGTCAGTATGATCATATATATTTTACAGTTATAACAAATGTGAAATCTTACAGTAAGTCCTTTATAACTTGATTGTTACTATATTTAGAAATAATTTCAGTGATTTCAAGCCCTTTTGCTCCACTTTTGTTGAATAGGAAAAATATATATGATTTTTCATATTTTCACAATATTTATACTATGTATTTGCACTTGTGTCCTCAAAAGTGAGTATACACCAGACCTTTTTAAAACTATGCAACATTACCAGTTATTGTTTATGGCCATCTCATGAAAAATAATTACGTGTGGGTATGTCTATTTAGGCGAAAATCAAAATGTTGCCCTATCATCCATGCTAGTCACATTTTTTAGGTAACATTTCGTATGAACTCAGCAATATTGTTCGACGGTCGTGTCATACAATAAATACAAGAGATTTGAGGAAATTTACTTAAAACACAGGACTGCAGCCGGTGTATGAGAGAGCCGAGCTGATTGAGTCTGACAGCATGGATTCACTGTCACACCACTGCACAGCTGACACATGGTGTTTAGCCTCCAGCTGTCACTCTGCCTTTTCACCACTAAAAACCGCACTGTACACAACAAACTTAAGCTTTGGTCAGAAGAACTTTAAGGTGAGTGGAGTGGCACTGACATTCTGTTTTCTTTAAAGGGAGAAGTATTTAATTGCTTCAGACTCGATTTATTGAATTAATGAGCAAGGATTCTTTTCAGACTTTGGCCAAAAAACAATGGCATTGAAAATGGCAGTGAAATGGCAGTGTTTCTCAGCACTCAAAGCTTCTCTTCTGATCAGTCTTTTCACTCATGAACACATGACCAGAACTCCTGAACCGTGAATTATGATAAACACCTGCTGCAGAAACTTGAGCAAGAACAAACAAACAACAAACAGTAGCAGCTCCTGAAAAAGTGGAAACTCCCCCAGTTTGTGTAATTTCTTCTTTGTCAGGGCTTTCTCTTTTGACTGTGAAGTTTGACGTTTTTGTTTTGAAGGTTCATGTTTTTGTTGTTGTATTTATTAAGTGATACTGTAAAGGATTGTGTGGTAATGTGCTGTCAAGGTAGCTTAAAGCTTCAACTGTAAAATATTACTGTATACAAATCCTCTATCTATACTCTACTTGTGATGGTATTGTTGCATAATGACCAATATGCTACCACCCACTGGGCACAGACATCAGTTCAACCACTGGCGTAGCACACCCCTGGAGGTCGGGCCCCCCAGATAGCATATGAACACTTCATAAACCATGATTTTTATTTATTTTTTATTACAGGAAATTATTTTTAAAACTGCAAAATCTTCTCTGGCAATAATGGATATTAACTGAAAAATTATCGTATGTAGTTTCTTGCTATAGCCCTCTGTGACTTTAAAGAATATTTCTCTCAAAACTTTGCTTCCTACAAGATGTGTCCGGAGATTTGGTTAACTCCGTCAGATTTGTCTAAAATCCTAAATTAATCAGGAATGAGAAGGGTCATACCTATACCATAAGGACCCCTTATTCATGTCCTCATTACATGTAGTGCAACAAGACCACTCATGGTGTGTAAAGTTCTCTACTTTTGATAGATTTAAACAAACAATATTGGAATCACCATGGTCACAATCATAAACTGTCAACTCCATCTGCCTGATAGATTACAATATAATATGAATTTAGGTTCAAATATGTTACATTTAATTGGATTTTAGAGTCATAAAGCAACTGAGGAAAAACTAAATTGCTACTGTGTATACCACTTGAATGAAGAAGAAAAATGACATTTTTGTCAACTCCGTAAAACAAACTCCGTCAGATTGCTGAAAGATCTGATTTAATTGGGGATTTTCAAATGAATCATTTTCCATATCTTACAAATGTTTGTATTTAACTTTTACTTTTAGAGGCAAAAATATGTGTCAAGGCGTTAGGTAGGACGAAGTCAGGCGCAGGACACAGAGCTAATCGAAAAAACATACTTTACTCGTAGGTAATAGAAAGAACAAACCTCCACGCAGGGAGGAACAAACCCGCTCACTATGACAACCAAAACATGAACAAACACGCACAACACACAGTGTGAGCCAGAGGGTTAAATAGGGAAGACATAACTACAGTGGGGGAAAAAAGTATTTAGTCAGCCACCAATTGTGCAAGTTCTCCCACTTAAAAAGATGAGAGAGGCCTGTAATTTTCATCATAGGTACACGTCAACTATGACAAACAAATTGAGAAAAATAAATCCAGAAAATCACATTGTAGGATTTTTTATGAATTTATTTGCAAATTATGGTGGAAAATAAGTATTTGGTCACCTACAAACAAGCAAGATTTCTGGCTCTCACAGACCTGCCTTCTTTAAGAGGCTCCTCTGTCCTCCACTCGTTACTGTCACGCCCTGGCTCTGGGACTCTTATATGTTGAGCCAGGGTGTGTAGATTCTATGTGTTTGTGTTTCTATGTTAGGATCTAGTTCATGTGTATCTATGTTGGCCGGGGTGGTTCTCAATCAGAGGCAACGAGAATCAGCTGTTGCTTGTTGTCTCTGATTGGGAACCATACTTAGGCAGCCTGTTTGGCACAGTGTATTGTGGGATCTTGTTACGTGTATGGTTTGTGTTTTGTTACCAAGGACTTCACGTATCGTTTTGTTGTTTTTGTTCGTGTGGTGAATAATAATAAAAGATGTTCGCATTCCACGCTGCGCATTGGTCCACTCCTTTTGACGACCGTGACAGAAGATCCCACCAATACTGGACCAAGCAGTGTGTTTCGGAGCTAACGCCGGGTAAGGAGATGGAGAAGTTGGCGATGGCCCAGGTGGGCCAATGGTGGTCCTGGGAGGACATGTTCGAGGGCAGAGGACCATGGGCAAAGGTTAAAGCCTTGGCGAGAGAGGAGGTACGGCGCCAACAGTGTCGTCGTCGGACAGGCGAGAGGCTACCCCAAGAAATGTTTAGGGGGGGGGCACATGGCATGGACGACGGGGCTGCTGGAGGCAGATAAGGGGCGAGTTTGTGGATGAGGAGAGAAGGCCACCGGGTTATGGGAGCCATTGGTGATTAGAGGGAGGGAAAGTGTAGAGGCACGGCGAGAGGTACTGAAGTGTGTTGCCAGTCCGGTCCGGCCCGTTCCTGATCCCCGTATAAGGCCAGTGGTGTGTGTTCCCAGTGTGGTCCGGCCTGTTCCTGCCCCTCGCACCAAGCCTGTGATGCGCGTCGCCAGCCCGGTCCGGACTGTTCCTGCCCCTCGCACCAAGCCTATGGTGCGCGTCGCCAGCCCGACCCGGCCTGTTCCTGTCCCTCGCACCAAGCCTGTGATGCGCGTCGCCAGCCCGGTCCGGCCTGTTCCTGCCCCTCGCACCAAGCCTATGGTGCGTGTCGCCAGCCCGACCCGGCCTGTTCCTGTCCCTCGCACCAAGCCTGTGATGCGCGTCGCCAGCCCGGCCCGGCCTGTTCCTGCCCCTCGCACCAAGCCAAAGGTGCGCGTAGCCAGCCCGGCCCGGCCTGTTCCTGCCCCTCGCACCAAGCCAATGGTGCGCGTCGCCAGCCCGGCCCGGCCTGTTCCTGCTCCCCGCACCAAGCCAATGGTGCGCGTCGCCAGCCCGGCCCGGCCTGTTCCTGCTCCCCGCACCAAGCCTATGGTGCGCGTCGCCAGCCCGGTCCGGCCCGTTCCTGATCCCTGTA